TTTCTTGTGCTTCCCCTTGTGTGCCCAGAAGGACAGCCTCTGTAACAGCACATGATATTGTGGGCTACCTTTTCGTATGCTTCATCCCAGCAATGAAGAACACCATTAGATTTGAAGCTAGTGGTTTCCCATTGCTGCCTGAACACTAGGACAACATGTTGTTAGAGCCTGTCACCACCCCATTTTTAGCAATTTTTGACATAGGAAACTTTGGTGCAGCTCTTTTATCTAGAAACAAGGCGCTTCTCAGCTTGAATTCTTTCATTTACATTTTATATTCCACTACTGGAATATGAGCAGTGGGAGGGCCAGAAATTCAGAGGTGGATTTATAGATTTTTTTATTGACCAGATTATTTTTGTGGATTTGGAAACCTCTGAAAGTGTTCCTGTTTGGACCATCGTGCTTCTAGCCTGGATACTGAATGCTCCTTTTCAGTTAACTGTGGAAATATACTTTTGTCACAGTTGTAGGTAATCAAAGTCTGGATCAAATCTTGTGTTTCAGTGGTATCCCTTTACTTTGGAGGATCTTTGCAGAAGAAAAGAAAAACTGTTAAAAAACAGTCCTCAGAATTGAAACAACTAAGCCAGGAGTACCAAAAAAGTGAGCTTTCTCATGTCTATCTCTGGACAGTATGGGTATTTTATTTCTTAACCTATTTAGATAATGTAGATCATGTGCTTGTAAGTATTGTTGAGCCTTGCAGACAAGTGTTCTCTCTGGGTCATTCTGCTACCAGGCAGTGAAAGGCGCCCTCCTTAGCTGGAAAGACTAACTGAAAATCAGGCACTTCCACTAACTCCAGCAGAGCTGCATTGGCTTCAGCCAGAGGCTGTACATTTACATCTGCTGTGGCTTCCAAGTAGGTGAAATGAGGCCAGTATGTGGAAGTGAATCCCTTAGAAAGCAGAACGTGCATGTCCCTTTGTTGTTGCCATGATACCTCTAGGATTTCCCTGAATATGTTTTCTGTATTGCTACGAGTCTGCCTTGCTGCTCTTTCCCAGCTTTCCCAAAAGATGTGTTTAACCTGTGAAATAAAGTTAAATTGTCCTGTCATACAGGTGCTATTATGATGCACCTCCCAGGTACAGAATTCCCAGCACTCTGATGGCTCTGTACAGCACTTTTGCTGTCTCTGTTTTGAAGTTGCGAATGCTGCTGACCTCGAGCCATTTGGGACTGTGGGTCCTCCTATTCAAGAGAACTACTCTTGCCTATAATTACGTGGCCTAGCCATGCTGGTTGGTGTGATTTGTTTTCACCTGAAGAAGAGCTGTGTATGCAAAATACATGCCTGTTTTTCCAAGTACATCTCTCAATTCTACGCTAAAGTTATTGCATTAGACCTGTTATTGTTGCTTAAGAGTATTTAGTTCAGTAGGTAGGTTTGCTTGGCCTTCAGCAAACCAGGGTTGAGGTTCCAGTTCCCTCATGCACAAGGACCTGAGCAGAGGGGCACTGGCTCTTTGGTCTCCATCCTCAGCACCTTGCTAATCATCACCACTTCCACATCTTTCATGTGGAAGTAACACCTAGTTGCTGCTTTTATAAATTTTTGTTAGCTTGTCTAAATGAATGCAGAAAATTTGTTTATTACAGTCTAATTTAAATGACATTTAAATATTTGCTTCCATACAGTTCCATTGCTGGTGCATTTTTCCTTGAGGTATCAATTATCAGCTTTTCTTCCTATCACATAATGTGATCTTTTTCTTCCAGTCCTGACTAATATGTAAATACACTAGTCATCTTCCACTACCTTACCTTCAGAAAGAGAAGGAACTAGATTGTGTTCCTTCCAGACAGGCATTTTGAGATTTGTTATTGAAATGATGCAGTATACTTCTGGTCTACAACAAGATAAGATCCTGATTAGTTTAGCACAGGCACATTGTCGTACTGCCTGGTTTTAGTACTAGACTGATGATAAACCAGCCTATGACAGTGGTGGGTGGAGTATTTGGTTTGTTTTATGCTGATAAATATAGATTTTGCTAAGGATGGCAGAGAAACTAGTTTTCTAGATAGCAGAATATGGTACCTACGGAATCAAGCATCTTGCCAATGTTCTTCCATTCCACCTTTGTTGTAACACAAAATCAGCCCCAATTGAACATTTTCCTCCTGTTCAGTTCTTTCTAAAAAAAAAAAAAAAAAAAAAAAAAAAATTTATAGTTTCAAAACTTTAACACAACTTGCTGGTAAATTAAAATACGTTTTGTTGTACCATTTTATTCCTGCTCTTCCAGGGAGTGGCTCTGGAGCTCTTACCATTCTCTTTACATCTGTATTTGTTTCTGAATGACTGCCTTTAGTCTTCAGTGACAGGGATTTTGAGCCTGAACTGGTTAAAAGCTGCTTCAGCTTCATGGCATTTAGTCTCTCTAATTATGAAATATCCACAGATTACATCAGTAGAGAATGGTGCCGACATAGTCAGAAACAGCAGCTGGAAAGCTGCCCTGCATTTAGATGCAGACTGTACTATTTGCATCCACTGTGATGCCACCAATACAGCCTGTGCTTGGTGAGTGTTGACCTTGCCTTACAGGGGATGCCTGTTATGAGGGAGCAGTTTGAGGCATTACAAAATGATGGAAAAATAAATGATCTCCATTTACTGCGTAAGTTTGCTTT